TAATTTTCTAACTACAAAGTATTTATTGTAAATGTTAAGTGTATACCATAGTTTAAAAATATGTTTTCATATTTCTACTATTTCAAAATATTTATTATATGCAAATTTCACAAAGTGAATGCATTTAAAATAGTCTTTAATTTATTTTTACAAAATATGGATATTAAATAAGTATTTAATAAAATAGCATTCTTTATATCAAACATTATTTTAAAAGCTAAGGAGTACACAAATAAACATATGTGGGGCTGGAGAGATGGCTCAGAGGTTAAGAGCAGTAGCTGTTCTTCCAAAGGTCCTGAGTTCAATTCCCAGCAACCACATGGTAGCTCACAACCATTTATAATGTGATCTGGTGCCCACTTTCTGGCCTACAGGCACACATGCAGGCAGACTGCATAGATAATAAATAAATAAACCTTTAAAAAATAAACATGTATTTAATAATCTCACAGACTTTTAATAGGGTTGATTTCTTTCCATTTTAATGAAAAATACAATGAAAGAAGACAAGGATATTTGTTAAGAATCTGAACCACACAAACAAATGCAGTTACTACATCACTTAATCATAGTAATTTTAAGTTATGAAAGTTTTAGACAGTTAAAATGTCTAAGGTTCTAAGATACAAAAGGAGATTGGGCTAATGTACACAGAGTATAAAGACAGGAAGAGCTAACTAAACTCTTTGCATGGAGGTAAATAGTGAAAAGTGGTAGCCAGGGAAGGGAGAAACTAGAATAGTATGAGGGGTTAAGCCAAGGAAGCCAAAAACAGATCTTGGGATTCTTTTATTTAATTAAGTTTATTTATTTTTTATTAATAACACTTTATTCACTTTTATCCCAGCTGTGGTCCCCTCCCTCATCCCCTCCCAATCCCACTCTCCTTCCCTCATCTCCTCCCATGCCCCTGCCCAAGTCCACTGATAAGGAAGCTGTGGTGTCTTTCCTTGACATGAAAAAAGATCCAGAATCACACCAAAGTGTCATTTCACTTAACCAGCATCGCTCTATCCTAACCCGTGGCTCAGACTGTCTGCATCAACTTAGTCATCTGGTCATAATCTTCTCCATGTATACCCCAATAGCAGGTGCAAATCTCACTTTGCCCTCCATGATCTATTTCCTCTCATTCCTCAGATGCGGTTATCAATATTACCTCCTGTGAAATTTGGCTCAATCAAGAGGCCTCATTAAAGAAGATTGGACAAGCCATAGCAAACCCTTCAACCAGCAGCAGTTTCTTCCAGTCTTCTCCGAACTTTCTGAGTGGATGTCAAATTTTCTATTCTCGGTCTCTCTATGTTAACAAGGGTAGTTTAAATTAAAATGGTCTGTAATCATCTAGCTAATATTAGGAGGACTTCACAATTTGGGGGTGGGGGCTACAGACCTGAAATGTTTTTTTGTAACTAATTAAAATCTGAAGGATATTAGTAAACAAAAATAACTGTGGTCCTTGGCTATAAGCACACATTTCACCCTGTCACTGGCCTCTGTGGTTGAAGTTCAAAATCAGTAATATCAATCTGTACGTGTTTCTACTTCAAAGGGTACACACAAACAGGGAGAAGTTTCATTTGGTTAGTAAATAACTCATGTTCCTGCTACCTACATTCTTTATTTAAAACATATCAAGAAACACTAATATACATATATTCATACATGTTATGTATATTTATTATTATAAATAGATTTATACTTATAAAATATTTAATATTATAAGCATTTAATATTTAATATTATAAGTATAAATCTATTTATAATATGATATAAAATATAAATATATTTCTATATAGTGTGTATATGTGTATATTTTATATATTCTACATAATATATATGCTGTGCTGGAAATTAGACAATTATTGATTAAATCTTTTGGGTGACCTTTAATTGATTCTTGTCTGAAGATTAATGTAAGTACTCAGAAGTCATGGGAAAATCCATAAACTGTGTGTGTCTGTGTGTGTGTGCATGTGTGTGTGTTTGCAACCCTGAGGCCCCTAAAATCTCATTTGGATGCATACAATGTCACCCTGTAAAAGAAATGCATAGGAACTAAAAGGGGATGTGTAGCAGTTTATAAAACGTGTGTCAACATCACCCTTATCCTGACAGTTGAGATGAATTAAATCCTCCTCACATCTTATACCTGTCTCTCTGCTTCAAGCTCTACATTGATTTTTTTTTTTTTACCAAATAGCCTCAGGGCTTGAGATAATAAAATCACCCCAGAGAAAACACAAATCCTCCTCCTTGCTTGCTGTCTGGTAGCTTTAGATTTTATCTTTACTTATGATAATTTAAAAAAAGAAGTAATCTAAAACACAACCAATGGTTTTCATCTTTCATCAATCATAACTTTTGCTAATGGATGTAAAATCTAGTTGTTATTCTTTTAATCTGTCAGTCAGATGGCAAAAAACTATTTGCATCTGTTCAAGGCTCGTGGACACTCCTGCTATTACACTGTCACTTCCACGATGGCAGATTTTGACATTGTTTATAATTTATGTACAAAGAATTAGCTTTGTGAAAAATTCACGTTGGGCATATGAAGGACATTTTTGCTAATTATAAAACTCAACAATGTCTCCTAAAACCCATTCTCATTGCTTGCTCTCTGACCTGAGAGATTTGTAATCACTTTCTTAGCATTTACTTGATAAGACCTTATTTCATACATGTGTGAAAATGGCTCTATGATATATTCATGTGTAGAATATTTTCTTGCCCAGTTTTTTAATGAAAGATTAACTCATTTTTTACTCTTTTTTTTCTGTTCATAACCAAAATAACTTCTGTGATGCATTAGTTTTTTATGTAAGAAGTATTGTATTTCCTATCTGTGCTACAGGAATAATGAACATGTAAGGCAAAGAATTCTGTTAATTTTTCTCTGCATCCAAAAATTCTATCAGTCAACAATTCTTTGATATTAATTTTTAAATCCAATGTATATCTGTCCTTCGGTTCCTGTTGTCACTGAGACAGGCAGAGAAGCATTGACATGATCATGAACACATGTTCTCCAGGAGCTACTGTCCTCTTTACACAGAGCTGCAGTGACAGCTGAAACACAGAATCTTCTCACATTCAGTCCAATGCAAAAGAAAAGACCACTCTGTGATATGAGCAGAAACTGTGAGGGGCAGCTGCATACTGAAAGAATTGCTTCTAAATATTTAAACACTGCTAAGGTAAGTGAACTTACTGAAACTAAGGAAAAGAGCAAGAAAGAAGGAGGGAGAAAGAGAGGGATGGAGGGAAGAAGGAAATGAGGTATGAGGGAGAGAGTGAGAGAAAGAGAGAGCGAGAGAAGAAAAATGAAGGTGATAGGGTAGGAAGCCAAGAAAAGTCTGAGGAAGATAGGGAGGGACGGATGGAAGAATGGAAGGCTGAGGAGAAAAATAAAAGAGAAAGCAGGTGAGAATTAAAGAAAGGATGGAAAGAGGAAGGGAAGGAGGAACAGATAAAAAGAGGGATGCAGGAATGAGAAGAAGGGAGAAAGAAAAGAAGGGCAGAGAAGAAGAGAAGAAAGAGGAGAGGAGGGAGTGAAGAACTAGGTAGAAGATATGGACAATAAATTGAAATACAGTTTCTATTGTTCATAAAAATAAAGCTGTGCTCCTGAGCAGTGAGAGAGTTGCCTAGAGGCACAAGCAGGAAAGCAGATTGCCTCCCTCCTGCTTAGTGGTAGCTCAGGCCTCTATATACACCTTAGCATTGGCCTTTGTGTTTTCACTTTTATAAACAGAGAAATAGCTTTTACTTCTCTCACACAAGAGCAGATGCAGCTTTTGATTAGCCTGATGGTTATACAATTTAATCTTCATTATGACAAAGGGACAGACTATGAATACAAAAGGAATGCAGCCTCCTAGAGGAGCACCTCTCACAGGCCATGAAGGTCAGTTTTGTAAACCTCAAGGCCAGCTGGCTTCTGTTTATGATGGACAGGAGGCTGCCATCTGGCAAACTGGTCAAATATCTGTGGAAGCCCTGTCCTCTCAAGATTTAGAAACCTCTTTTTACAGCATTTTATTACTGCTGGAGACACCCAGGAAATACAATATCTGGGAATCTACCTCAAGTCTGTAGACAATTTAGAGTGAGGAATTAGATAATGAAGATACAGACTGGTAATATACTCTGTGTGTATATATGTGTGTGCGCGCACACATACACATATGTGTTCACATGTGTCTGTGTGTGTACACACGTATATGCATTTTAGGTCATACACGTAGCTGGCAAAAAAAATAGAGAAATGCTTAGCTTGAGAAATAAGGATAAAGCACTTGCCACACTAGCATGAGGACCTCTATCACCACAAAATGCCTGACATACCACTGTGTGCCTGTTTCCCCAGCAGGGGTAAAGCAGAGACCATCCCAGGACAGACCACCCACACAGCCTACTCACAGCTGTGAGTTTTGGGTTCAGTGAGAGACCTCGTCTCCAAAAAATGGTAGAGAGCAATAGAGGAAGTTTTCAGACTTCAATTATTAACCTCTGCATGTGTATACACAGGTACATGAACACACACATACATGCAAACACACACTCTACACTTTCTATAAAAAAATGAAATATTTCCATTGGTAAAGCTATGATAGATAAGTTAACTAAATAAATACCAAAGCCTAAAATTTAGTAATGTTCAACATAATTAATTTAGCCAATAAAATATTTACAAATATATATATATATGCATATATGACTATTAGGTAAAATATATTTTGAGTATGGACAAGAATAAATCATACTAAAGATCCTTCTTTAAAAGGCATATAAAAACCTAGTATTCTGGAAACTTCATATATAACCATTAACGGAAACTTCATATATAAGCATTAAAAATATTGATATACAACAGAATCCCATTAAAGGAGGTTGTGTGCTTCAAAGACAAAGAATGGAGACCAATCCACAGTGGTTGGGTTTGTCTACTTGATTCTTTGTTTTTGACACTGGGAACATTTCTTGTCACTCACCATCAGTTATGACCAGCCTTAGGACAAAGGTATTTTTCTCTCCCGTGCTGGTCTCAGATCGGCATCTGTAAAGTCCCGAGTCAGCAGTTATGGCATCACGGATGATGAGGACACTTTGCCTGAGCCCCTGGCTGCAGTTGCTCCATGTTTGTCTTGGGTACTTTGATGTGTATCTTGTCCCTTGAGATAGCTTACAGGAAGCCAAGATGTCTACCTGATGGGGCTGGACTCTTTCCCATATGACTTGTTGTACTGGCCAGTTCATTTGAAGCTGACAACTGAGTGTGACATTTTGTCCAGGTTCTGAAGACAGGTAGCTATTCGGGGGTGCTGCTATCTCAAAACTATCTGGAAAAAAAAAAGGAGCAAATGCTTAGGCACCTGGTCAGATGTTCACACACAGAGAGAAGCTACCCAGAAAGCTAACCTAAAGTGATTGGAGATATTACCTAATGCTGTTGCTCGGGAGTAAATGGTATCTTCACTTTGCATTTTTGTTAAAAGAAAAAAAATTCATTGTGTACTTGTAAATAGAAAAAGGATGTAATGGTTGACACATTTCTTTTTAGTGTTACTTTGTTAACCACACAACAAGAAACATCACTGAAACCTTTGGTATTTTCTTAGCAGTGATCACATCCATGTCTGAACTTAGAAGATTGCACTAGTAACTTGAATTTCCAGATTATAACATGAGCCAATAGTCTAAAGCTTTAATGGCTATGAAAAGATACTACATTATTTCTCATTAGCTCAGTTGTACAGGAATGTTTGGTGCATAGGTGGAGACTCTCATATAGTATAAATTTCTGGTGCCAAAAATACTCTCCCAAATTTCTACCTTCACACCACCATTTCTGGAGTTTGCAGAGCAAGTATCATCAACTATTTTAATAATTGTCTTTTTTAGTATGTTCTGGGGAACCTTGTGGGCCTTTTGGAGATTTGTAAGGTTGAATTTATCTTCAAAACACCAGGGAAATATAACAGATATTTTCATGAATGTAGAGCATGTACTGTCATAGGCGCTGATAGCTTGTGTAGTGAGTGCTCAAGGGTTCTGTGCTTAAAATTGTATTCGACGTTAAGCTTTGGTGCTGTGAACATGATAGATTATATATAACGTGCATGAACAAATGTCCTTTAGAGTCCTCCATCATTTTTGGTTCTGAGACCAGAAAGCTTGTGAACTTGATGTAGATACTAAAATTCAATTTTTTATTTCTCAGATCAGGATAGCCCAAAGCTGTAACAGGTAAAGTAAGTGCCAGCTTCGTCCATTTAGAGTCTTTATTGCCACAAACCAAGAATCCCCATTTGCTACTCGAGAAGAGAAGGCTGAGCAGTGAGGATATCACAGGGCTTATCAGCAGGTGGGATGGAAAAGAAAAGACTACTTATCTGTATCAGCTATGCTCAGTGGTGTAAGGGATCCAGTGTGGGCTTATAAAACAGCAACCAAACAATGGGAAAGAGAAGGAATAGAGGGAGGAGGGGGGAAGGGCAATGGAAAATACAAAAATGGCAATTTGGAAAAGAACACAAGTCTGAAGTACAATAAGATTGCTGTTCGTGTTAGATTAGGACCTTATATCTACTGCCACCAAAAACTAGTTGCAACAAGTGATTCCTGTCCTAAAACCCTTGCATGCAGGAAAACCACAGCTCTCTAGTGTGTGACTGTGTGGCCATACAAGTGTTCATCAGAAGTAACACTTCACCCACATAAGAGCACACAGAAAATGTGTCATCTCTAAGTTATAAATCAACAAAACAAAAGGAGGGAAGGAACGGCAGAAAACGTGTAAGACGAAAATAATAAGAAAGTCAAAACTACTAGGAAAGAAGGGGGGAAATTAAAGTTAAAATGGGGAAGTTACTAGAAAGGAAACTGTAGAAAAGAGAAGGAAAACACTAAATCAGATACTGACAGTCTGCGACAAAACACCTATTATTTATATACAAGTGGTTCCGGCCTTTAGGAGTAGACAGGTGAAAGCCCTGGACACAGGTTTTCGTGTTTGTCTTCAAGATTCCTTTTCACAACTGTTTTTCTTCAATCTTCCTGGATGCTTCTCCACTCTCAGAAGCTTTCTTTGGGCTGTTCTCACCCGGACCTGCTCTTAGGAATACCCTCATGTACTTGTCAATTCAGGCACAAAGCGCTGGATTCTTCTTAGGGAAATTACTGGCATTTATATGAAAGACCAAACTCATGAAGCACCAAAGAAAATCTCTATCCATGATCATCCAGACCCAAAGGATAAAGGGAGTTTTAGGGGCAGACATGTTACAGTTCAGGCTCCACATAAGGAACCAGAGAAGCTTAGAGTCTCCATCCATCCTCGGTCAAGCTTCATGCTGAATAGAGTTGACTATTTGTTCTGAGATGAAAATCAAGCCACACTTGGAAGCTGCCTGTGGCTCCTATCATCATCCAAGTGGAAGGCTCTCCAAAGTGACAATAAAAATAACAACAAAGAAGACCTGACACAAGGAGAGGGCCACCACCTGACACACTGCAAGTCAATGGTGAATCCATTTAAATCAGAGACAAAGCCGCCATAGTTCTGGGGCAGGTGGAGGAGGTGTGATGCTAACTGAGTTCCAGAATGAAAAAATAACAATAATAATAGAAACCTGTTGATTCTATATTGTATTTCAGCCATGTACCAGTTTTTAAAATAAACATAAACATTGTTGCCTATGCAGATTTTATTAGAATACTTGACTTTACAAGTGACTTTCTGTCATGATTATAGATCATTAACTCAAAAAATTAATTCTGTGCTTTATCCACTTTCCTAAGTGTTGCTCCACCTCTGGAGAGCCAATCATTGCAAAGTACACCTATACTTCACATTCACCTCACATCCCCACTCAGAGGACAGCTGTGCTAGGCTCCCATATGCAAACATGGCAGAGTACTGTTAATAGTGTCAGGGGTTGACTCTTTCCTATGGAATGGGTATCAGGTTGGGCCAGGCATTGGTTGGATATTCCCTCAGTCGCTGCTTTAGTTTTGTCCCTGTGCCTCTTGTAGGCAGGGTAAATTTTGGGTCAAAGTTTTTGTCATAACTACGTGTCGTGTTTAGTTAGAGGGTGGCCTCTTCAGTCTCCATGTCCACAACAACTGAGTCTCAGATAGTCACCTTCATGTCCTCCCAGGAGCCTACCCTGTCATAGGTCTCCAGCTTGTCCCAGAGATGCCCTCCCGAAGGTTTCTCTTCTCTCGGCAAGCCCTCTGTCCTCCACCCCCTGCTCCTCCCAGGTCTGATATCTACCCTAACTACTCTCCATGCACCCTCCCTTACCCCACTCCCTCTCTTCAAGCACTTCTGCTGTCTAATATATTTCCTCTTCTGAGTGAGATTTAAGCCTCCTACCTTCGTTCCTAGTTGTTATTTAGGTCTGTCGGTTGTTGAGCAAATGTCCTGGTTGTATGGCACAGCATCTTTTGGAGTGGTATAACTGGTTCATGAGGTAAGAGCTACTTCCAGTTTTCTGAGGAAGCACCAGACTGATTTCCAGAATCATTTTATTCCCACCAGCAATGGAGAAAGGATAGAAGGACTCTGAGGAAACAGGAGCTCCACAAGAAGACCAACAGCCAACTAACTAGGGCCCACGAGGCGCTGTAAAAGCTGAAGGACTAACCAAGGACTGTGCATGGACTGGACCTAGGCTGATGTAGCTGATGTAGCTGATAGGCCGCACAGTCCTTATATGGGTTCCCTAGTAAGGGTAAGTGGGGGCTGACTCTGACATGAACTCTATTGCTGCTTTTCGATCACTTTCCCCTGGCGGGGCTATTTTACCAGGCCACAGAAAAAGAGGATTCACTCAGTCCTGATGCTGGGGTGGGTGGGTAGGGGTGCTCCTCTTCTCTGAGGAGAAGAGGAGATGGGGAACAGATAGGGAGAGTGGAACTGGGAGGAAAGAAGGGAGGGGTTTATGGCCAGGCTGCAAAGTCAATAAATAAATATTAAAAATTAAAAGAAACATTTAAAATAACATTTTTGCCAAAATAAAGAATTCTACACAAAGACACAACTGAAAATTCATGAAAAGACATTCATGTTTCTAATAAGTAGACACTTACCAAAACAACGAGACTCCATTTGGTAAACCAAGCTCTTTACAAAGATACAAAGAACATAGAAATGTGTTCTGTGAGATGTTGGAAGGCAGTGCACAAAACTCTAACTGACAACAACAACAAAAAATAAAAATAAAAATAAACAAATGAGAAAGGAGAAATTTACAGGTTAAAAAAAAACCAAATATCTCCAATGTGTGGCGTAAAGAGCAGAGTGTTGATTTAATTGGAGAAATGTAAAATAGATAAAACTTAATAAGAAGGGGTATGAGAAACATAGAACAATCATATGGGGGCCAAGCTTGGTAGATGTTCAAGCTTGAAAGAGGCGCATAGGATTTCATCTTACCATCATTTCTGAAATGACTAAGCTAAGGCCATCCTGTTCTGACTCCTTTTTGTGTTCACTGTTCCCCACAGCAGTCACATCTGCCTGGGCAACACATTGGAGATTTGCATGGCCTTAACCATGATCCAGATGTATTAACACAAATAATTAAAGTAAGCTAAAATAACTAGGAAAACATAAGTTAAAAATAGCATATTCCAAACAAGAAACAGGACAGGAGCCTACCACAGAGGGCCTCTGAAAGACTACCTCTCAGTGTATCAAAGCAGATGCTGAGACTCATAACCAAACCTTGGGCAGAGTTCAGGGAATCATATGAAAGAAGGGGGTATTAGTAAGACCTGGAGAGGACAGGAGCTCCACAAGGACCAAATATATCTGGGCACAGGGGTCTTTTCTGAGACTTATTCTCCAACAAAGGACCGTGTTTTGATATAATCTAGAACCCCTACTCATTTGTAGCCCATGGTAGCTCAGTATCCAAGTGGGCACCCTAGTAAGGGGAACAGGAACTGTCTCTGACATGAACTCAGTGTCTGGATCTTTGACCTCCCCATCCCCCTGTGGGAGGAGGAGCCTAGCTAGGCCACAGAGGAGGACATTGCAACCAGTCCTGATAAGACCTGATAAGCTAGGCTAAGATGGAAGGGGAGGAGAACCTCCCCTATCAGTGGACTTAGAGAGGGGCAGGGAGGAGATGAGGGAGGGAGGGTGGGTTTGGGAGGGAATGAGGGAGGGGGCTACAGCTAGGATACAAAGTAAATAAACTGTAATTAATATAAAAAATAAAAAAATTGAAAAATGGCATATTGTGTCTAAATACTATGCTCTGTCAGAAATGAACATTTCATAGTTTCTCTGACCCTCATCTAACTTTGGTGTAAAGTACTGTCTTTGTAA